TCACGAGACGTTGGCTCCTCGCATACAGAAGTTGCTTGAGGATAACAAAGATGTCATGCCCGAGGAGCTACCCTAAGAACTTGCCTCACAGATGAAAGGTGGATCACAAGATTGAGTTGGAGCTACGGGATAAGCCACCCGCATTTGTCCCATATAGTATGGCACCAACCAAGCTGGACGAGCTCAGAAAACAATTGAAAGAGCTACTGGATGCTGGTCACATCTGCCAATCAAAATCACCTTTCGTGTCGCCAATGTTGTTACAAAAGAAGAAGGATGGATCGTTGCGCTTATGCATAGACTATTGAGCATTTAATAAGATCACAATGAAGAATAAGTACTTGATTCCTCTTATTGCCGACTTGTTCGATAGACTTTAGCAAGCCAAGTACTTTACCAAGGCCGTAGCAAGGACTACTACCAGGTTCGCATTGCCGAAGGGGATGAGCAACGACAACTTGTGTGACGATATACGGAGCCTTTGAGTGGTTGGTGATGACCTTCAACTTTATCAGTGCACCAACAACATTTTTCACCCTTATGAACAAAATTTTCCAGCCCTACCTTGATTAGTTCGTGGTAGTCTACCTAGACTACATAGATTTCTACAGCAACATGTTGGAGGAGAACATGAAGCTCCTCAAAAAGGTTTTCCAAGTCATACAAGAGAATGAGCTATACATCAAGAGGGAGAAGTGCGAGTTTGCACAATCAAAGGTGCACTTCTTGGGCCATGTCATTAGCAATGGTAAGCTACGCAGGGACAAGGCTAACGTACAGGCTATTCAGGAATGGGAAGCACCTATAAAGGCAACCGATTTGAGATCCTTCCTTGGTTTTGTGAACTACTATAGTCGGTTCATCAATGCCTATTCAGCAAAGACACCGTTGACCAAGTTGCTAAAGAAAACAAGCCGTGGGTTTGGATGGAGCATTGTCAAAAGGCATTTGCAGGTCCTAAGGATGCTGTGACAGATGAGCCAGTCTTGGCGTTGCTTGACTTTGCCAAGACATTCGAGGTGCATACAGATGCTTCATCATTTTCCATTGGAGGTGTCTTGATGCAGGATAGGCATCCCATAGCATTCAAGAGCTGCACTTTGAGTGAGATAGAGCGACATTACACGGTGCAAGAAAAAGTGATGACTCAATTATGCATTGTTTTCACACATGGCAACATTACTTTCTTGGATCGAGGTTCATGGTAAAGACCGACATTGTGGACACTAGCCACTTTAAGACGCAGAGGAAGCTCACACCAAAGCAGGCTAGGTGGTAGAATTCCTTGGCTGAGTTATTATTTGCTAGAGTATATGCCGGGCAAAGATAACATTGTAGACGATGCCTTAAGCTGGAAAGCCGAGCTTGCTACTATCACTTAATCAAGTTGGGACATTCGTATGGCTATAAAAGAAGGCATGCAATATGAACCAGTAGCCATATAGCTTATATAGTTAGCCACCCAAGGCAAGACGATACATTTTTAGGTAAAAGATGGCATATTGCTTACCTAATATGGTATTAGGGCCTTGGTTAAGTCAGTCTACTATTGGTCACGGATGCGAGGTGACATAGAGTGTTAAGTGCAGACCTGCTTGGTGTTCCAATCGGACAATGCTGAGCAACAACAACCCATAGGAATTTTTGAGCCGCTACAATTTGCAGAGAGTCCATGGGGAGCGTGACTATTGAATTTATCGCTTGTCTACCAAAGTCTGATGGTTATAATACTACCATGGTGGTCGTGGATAGATTTTCTACGTATGTCACTTTCATGTCCGCCTCACCAGGTTGCACAACTAAGTAAGCCACCAAGCTATTCTTTAAGATAATGGTGAAGAATTAGGGCTTACCAAGGCATATCATCAGTGATAGATACCCCCACTTTCCTAGAAACTTTTGGAGGGAGTTGTTCGGAATACTTGGCAGTGGCACAGAGCTGTAATTTTTCACTAATCTACACCCGCGGACAGATGGACAGACAGAATAAATCAATGCCTTATTGGAGTGCCACTTGAGGCATTATCTCAGAGCTCATAAGAAAGATTGGTCAAGACTCTTGGAAATAGCCTAATTCTCTTATAACTTGCAGCACAGTTAGTCCACGGGGCGGACACCATTTGAGCTAGCCACAGGCTAACAACCATAGACTCAACATTCACTACCTATATCGTTCAAGAGGAAGAGTTTGGTAGCTTATCATATGGTCAAAGGATGGAAGGATCAGCTTGATACTGCTAAGTCCTACTTGGATAAGGTAGCTAAGAAGAAAAAGAAGTTTGCGGACCGTAAGTGGCATCCCACAGACTGTAGAGTTGGAGACATGGTCATGGTAAAGTTTAACTCGAGACAGTTGAAGGCACTATGGCGCATGCATCAGAATTTGATTCGCAAGTATGAGGGTCCATTTAAAATCGTAGCCAAAGTGGGCAAGATTTATAACAAGCTTGACATGCCACCATATCTTAGGATCTATCATGTGTTCCATGCCAGCATGCTTAAGCCGTACCATGTATGGATGATCCTAGTAGAGACCAATCAAGTTGCGCACCAATTAATATCACCACCTCACATGATCGAGATACTGAGGCTATTATTGATTACCAAGCCAGGAAAAAAATAAGGGCAGAAAGCCACCGCTCTGTTCCTCATCCATTGGAAGGGGAAATAACCGGAGGAGGCCACGTGGGGACGATATAAAGACTTAGGGCAATTCAAAGATAAGATACGAGAGTTTATGCAGCCGCATTGCACTGTAGTCATTGAAATATTAGGTGGGGGAGAGTGAGATGACCTGCAATTTTATCATGCCTTATAGGTGCCATTTGGCACATATTTTTTTTAATGTGAAAGCTTACATAGGAAGGAGACTAGAACACGTGGGAAAGTTTAGGAGAAATATACAGATTTCTTCATGGAAGACCTTAGAACCCTATGGAATTACTAGGAAAGTCCTTAGATTTTTCTAGATTTGTAGATAATTCTAAAAAAAGTCCTTATCTTGTAAAATACTAAAGACTTGTACAACAATTAATATTTACACACTATCCCCTAGGAGACTAGCATACATAGGATGCCATCCATTTGTAAATCATCAAGAGAACGATTCAACTTCTCTCTAATACAAAGATTATTTGGTAATTCCCTTGTGTTCTTTCTATCATTTTCTTAGCAATTCCTAGTGTTTTAGGCCGATTTAGCATAGCAAGATCATGAGAAAATTGTGCATGAACATGAGCGAGTTGTAAAGTGTTGCACATGCGCTTATTCGAAGTCTTGGGACGTGGAATTACTCATAAAAATATTTGTCAAAATTATTGTATGCGGGGAAATCAGGAGACCAATTTTCCTCGACATAGTGCTTCGAAGAGCGAATCCCGAAGGCATGGGATCTCGGTTTGGTTCTCCCCTCGAGACCTAGCCGATGCCTTGCTCAGATCGAGCATCGATTAAGACCCTGATGAGCGAAGATATTCCCCGAGGGATGTGTCTGGGGCCTACGAGACTTCTCCAAGCGGCTCGATGCCAGTTCTCCTACAAAGAAAAGCAGGCTGTCACGTCTCGTTCTTTTATTGTATTTGTCATGCTAAGTTTGGACGCCCCCTTTTTTCTATAAAAGAAGGGTCACCAATACCTTGTAAGACATCTCCTGTTGGCCTTACAAAGAAATAATAATATTCTCTCTCTCTCTCTCTCTTTCTCTAAATTCCTCTCTAAGTTTTAAGTCATATTCATCGATAGCTATTCTCTCGGTTTGCCTATTATATCTCGCCTTAGCATTTTATTATTTCTTAGTCTGTTCTTCAAACGCTTGACTCAAAATTGATCATATAAAGCCTTATTTACTTGTGTATTTATCTGCTATTCACCTTCCCTATCACCCTCGACAGACCCGAGGTAGGCTCGAGGCCTAACCCTGAGGTACCCCCTGGTTTGCTCTAAAGACCGGGAACGATCCCTTACTGGTTCGATTATCGTTTTGGGTAGCTCGATCTTTTACTGTTTTACTCCATGTTTTAGCATTAATCACCCTTACAAACTAGCTCGGGAATAGATCACATATTTTTAGAGTTCCATTTATAAATTTAATTGTCTTTACCATTTTTACGGTAAACAATTATCAATAGTCTTTTTTCTTAAACGTCTTACCTAACACTCCAATAATTAAGAAAATAACAAATTTTTTGAAAAAGAAGCAATTAATGTTTCTTTGATTTCGTAAAACGTCAAACTAGAACAAAGTCAATTTGCCAAAATAACTAATATATTTAAAATTGTAAGACCCGGGAAGTCCAAATTTCTACTTGGGTCAGTCAAGGCTTAGAAGTTGAGCCGGAGTTAGGGAAGCCACATGAAAATGCCTTAGCTATACACATGAAGGGAGATTCAGAGTGAACCATAATCCACAGTATTCCATGAGCATCCGGAGCTACTTACGAGTGTCTGGAATATCCTATACGTATCCAGAGAACAACCACATAAAAGGCGGGGTTTCTGGAAGAAACCCTATGCGCTAACCTTGGGTTGCTATCTAAGGAACGTTATAGGACGAAGAGAGAGAAACAAAGATATTCTACCGAAGTGGTATATTATTCTCACTACAAGAAAATAGAGCTACGACGATATTTTTTAAATGTCGTTTTAAGTGACATAAATGTCACAAAATTATTTACCGACATTTATTTGACATTTATAATAAATCTCGTAAATTTCAATATCGAGAATTTTACGACATTTACATTAATGTTGGCAAATAATTAATGACATTTTATCTACGATATTTTATCAAATGTCACCGGCTTGTATGTAAACTCAATGTAGTTGCGACATATAAAGAAATGTCGCCAAATCTTACTCATCCTTTACATATACATAGAAATGTCGGTAAATTATTTTGGGCCAATAACTTTGTATCGTTTCCATATACTTAAAGGAAATATTAGTCTTTTATATAGCAACACAATCAATCATTCACAGAATTTTGGAACTACAATGTCATACACTACACAAAAAAATTATATTGAAAGAAAATAGTCAGTTATACATTATTTTTTATAAATCTTACAACACCATTTAATAATGGTTCTCAAAAAATATAAATTATTCTACTTGTACATCTTCAGAACAAACTGAATGCTAACTAAAAATAAACTCCAATACTGACTACAAGAATATTGATTCACAACAGTTCAATAGGTACTGCATACTATAGAGGCAACTGGAACCTCTACGGGAACACCCTTTGCTCAATACTATTCACTTCTTGCCTCTAATTTTTGCATATCGACCTGAGATAAACCAAATAATAAAGGCATAAATCAAAAGTTAAAAAAGATGAGGTAACAAAAACCAGTTAGCAGGCAACTTCAATAGAAATTATATGGCAAATGGTATCAGTTGCAAGGTTAGAATCTGCACAACTTAAAAATTTCCATAAAAAACATGTGATCCATAAAGTAAGAAAATGCATACGGTGCTTGAACACTCATACAACTGTTTAGATAAAATAAATGCAACACGGAATAATAATACAGAAGAAAAAGTTCTCTCTATCCTTTTACTCTAATCATCTTCCTACTCCCTTCTAGCTAAGCATGACATTTGAATTATAGAGCTCAATTGATGTTCTGTTATAATCATTTAGAAGATTGACACCTTGTGAACCACAAGAATTTTCTTGATCTCACTGATATTGTGAAGAGACTATCCTTTGACAAGGATGACGGACCTTGAGTATGCTCCTAATGGAACTCATTTTGAGCACCTGCAAGATAATCTTGTTAGTAGTGAATTTCGTGCTAATCATTCATGCTAGTCTCTTGATTAAGTGATAAACAATATAAACTAGATACTTACTTATCCCAGTTGAAGATGATCCCCTTGACTAGCCTGCAAGGATGGGAACCACAATCAACTTGAATTCATAGGCCATATTTTGTTACTGATCATGATACAGTCATATTTCTCATGGATATACATAGTAATAACATCCATATTCATACCGAAAAATAAAATGCCATCTCCTTTACGGATCCAACATTGTAAGTCCTTCATGAGCAATGAGCTTATTGTTATCTAGTGCTACAGTTACAAAGCTTTCTTCCCTCTGGTGGACTGATATTGAGTATTTATCTGTCAAGAAAACTTAATCTTGCTTGTTTGCCTACTGAGATTTTGGCATCGTAGGTATGAATAGTTATTCTACTAGACTAAAAGATTGTTCTTTCAGACATAAATGTAATTCTAACCTACCAAATGCAAAAGCTAGATGTTTCCTATTTCTAAGGCACAGTTTAGTTTCTGACTTATCCAAGCAAAATTTCTTTAATTTGGACTTGCAGGTACCTTTCTACAGTCATCTTACCTCTGTTAGAACCTATAATCCTAATCAATTAATCAAGAAATAATTTACATGGATTAAGAAAGAGCTTAGCGAATAAGCATAAACTATAACAACAGAACAGTAAAAGAAATCATATTAAAGATAAGAATAAGATAAAGTTCAATGGAAGAAATAATCAACCACCGAAATGAAATAAAAATTGCAAATATGCAGTCACATAGAAAATAAAGAATGATGCAGATAAAGGTTTACCCCCAAAATGATCAATTTCAGCACTCCACAATAGCCATGTACCTTGAACGTAAACAGAGAACTATTAATTTCATAAATAAATCCTATCTACCACTTCCCAAACAAATCATCAGCAAGCATAACAAATTTCAATACATCATAATAAAGGAAAAGGTCACCACCATTTTAAAGGCAGAAAATTCAATCCAATTAACATAATAGAACGGAAATCTAAGATAAAATATTTGAGAATTATCAGTAGTATTTGTCATGCTTAGAGTTCTATAAACGATGTAAGGATAAACTAGTTGTCTCCCCTTTCAATTCTGGACGTCACACTGAGATTTACTTATCCCCAAATCGAGGGCGACTCTTAAGGTTCGAGAAATAGATCGAGTGCTGGAAAGGCATATGAAGCGAGTCCAAAGAAAATGGCAGAAAATTCATATAGACTGTTGCAATTTTGGGAGAACCTCAACAATGTCGTGAATACGAGACAACGGCATCAGTCTTTTGGGTCTAAGAAAAGAGGAAGACTGCTAGGGTTTTTGAGAAAAAATTGTAGACGAGGCATATACTTAATATATTTTTAGATTAGTAATTTTACAAATGTAACAAATATCCTTCATTAGCTATAAATGTCAGTAAATACCGACTCACATAGCTACGTTTCTATTAATGGTCGTAATAACTGTGTCATTTTTTATTAAATGTCATTGAATTTATGACTCTTTTTTTTAAGTGTCATAAAATTAGTCTTTTTCTGACATTTATTTCACACGTCACTGATTAAATATCGTCGTAGTCCTCTTTTCTTGTAGTGTCTAGAGAGAAGGAGGAACATATCTTTCATAAATACTCATCAAAGTGAGAACTTATGGGGCATTTATGTTACACTATCACCATTTAAATCCTAACAATTTTTATGAACTAAATCTATAGGATTCTATCTCAAGATTCAAGAATGTCGACCAAGACCTAAGCTAGGGTTTTAAACTCAAAAAGATAAATCTCTGCTTCAAATCATATACAAGTTTAATATGGATCTTTGAGGATTGTAATGAGTTGAAAAAACATCATTTTGATGAGAAATACAAGTTCTTAGAGCAAGTTATGAACTAGGGTTCGTTATAAATAGTAAATGGGTAGGGTTGAATGTTGAACTTGGGTTATTAATTCTCTTCTACCTATTTTGTTATGTAGCTTTACTTAGTGACTTGGAAACTAAGAAGCTAAGCCAACTTCGATATAGATTAAGTTATGTTGAGCTAACCTCCCTCTCATAAAGTCATTCTCTCCTAAAGTTCTATGACTTAATGTGTCTTCATGACTAAGTAACTCCTAATATACCATGTTTCTTTTTTCAAGATTTGAGATTTCTTCATGATAAATGTTGTAACTATTTCTAGCTTTCAAATGAAAGCGAATGAATGTTAATGTTTTCCAAGAACTTAATGTGTGGCCATTGAGTTGAACATAAAGGAATTAATTTTTGCCAAAGGTACTGGAGTAAATAAAATATTTTGCGGATCTTGCTAAGTAACCGAGAAGGTATTCATCAAAGATGCTTAATAGCAGAAGCTATACATGCCGGTGTATATCTTGGCCAATTAGATAATCTCCCTTAGTAGGGGATAATAAAATTGCTTGCAAACTATTGTTGATCCACACAATATAGTGATGAGATGACTTAGCCGATGGGACAAGATCGGTCACCATGATGTACACATGGTGGTTTAATGGAATATCGATAACTAATAAACTCTCGCTTAAAAATAAAGTTTATTTAAAGTTTAAATTCTTTTCTTTATGTATTGAGAAACAAAATGAAATGTTTATTGTTTAGAACTGTATACCGTTCTCATGTATCCCCTTTAATGTTATTATCCCATTTCTATGTGAAAGAGTTTATGATGCATACAAGTACTCTTTATATTCTTACGTCCCTTTTTTAGGGTACTGCACCTCTTTTCTAGATGCAAGTATTGGCACTCCTGATGGTCTAGACCCTTTCTAGCCACTCTCTCATTTCCTCCGGTTGCTGGTATACTCCACCTCATACCGGGGACAGTCTTATGTTTTATGGAAACAAATCTTATTTTTGTTGGGTATTACCGAAGCCCTGTCACATAATTTCTTTTATTCATAATATAGTAGAGGCTCCATAGATACAATGAGTTACGTTATATTTTTTATTTATTTCAATTGAGATGTCACATGGCTTGTATGAATAACTATTTTGACTAATTATTTTGTAAAAGTTATGAGAAGTTTTAAGAAAGAAATGATGTCTGCCGAAATCATGCACAAGTCAAATTCATCTATTCAATGCAAGTTGGTTCAATCGGACATAGAAAAGTAACCAGATGCCGTGTCCAACACCCAAAATTGGAGCATGACCAGTTAAATTTTGACACGGCATGGCGCTAGGTGTCATGTCCATCACCCAAGATCGTGGTTAAAGTTTAAGATTGTCTTAGGATATCTTGGAGCCGTATCTAGTAGAGTTCTTATTATCTGTTTGTTATTGACTACATCTATAATTGAGAGGTTACACAAAATTTAAGAATGTTACTCTTCTTTAATACTCATGATGGCGCGGTAAGAGCTTGGCTCTATGGATGACTTATAATTTGTACGTTGTTACAGATCTAAAAAAAATTGCAGCCAAAGCGAAAGACCAATAATAAGAGTAGTGCTGCTCCGGAAGTGGAATCTAATGATCAGGTATCAATTACTAGGTGTGTCCAAACAACGGGTCGAGGTTTTCAACCAACCATGGTAACCTCCCATCTCGGATACTCCAATGGAAGTTCAAGTGCCTCCTCCAATGATGACTCAATATCCACCTCCAATCTTCTCTCCGGCACTTAATAGTTTGGATATAGATCTTTGGGGAGCAATCCGATTCCTCACATAAATTATGGCTTCTCAAACCCAAAAATATTAAATATGGTTCCATCTATGACTATTCACCAAGGGTATCCATAAGTTCTAGAGTTGGCAAGTTCCTAAATTAAGTTGGATCCTTCAGTGTTCATAGGTACTAAGCCCGAGGAAGACCCATACAAATTCGTTGATGAAATAGAGAAGGCCCTCCAGGGTAATGCATGCCACTAAGACAGAGGACACCGAGCTAGCCTGTTTCCAATTGAAAGATTTGTCTTCATCTGTCATGCTCCAAACCTAAAGAGGCGTGCCCGGCACACGTCGCCATACTCGGCCTAAGCGTATCACTCTATAACTGTAAACTCTGGAGGGATAACCCTCAGCTTAGGCCGATGAGGCCATATTCTGAATCATCTGAAAATAATGTCTCTCTCATATGAGGGGTAAACATACCCGAAAACATATACTCCCTCTTTTCCAGTTTATGTGAACCTATTTCCTTTTTGGTCCGTTCCAAAAAGAATGAACCTTTTCTAAATTTGGAAACAATTTAGCTTAAACTTACAATTCTACCCTTAATAAATATTAATTGTTGTACAAATCTTTAGTATTTTACAAGATAGGGACTTTTTCTAAAATTATTTACAAAGCAAGAAAGTTCCAAGGACATTCCTAGCAATTCCATAGGGTTTTAAAGTCTTTCATGGAAAATCTTCATATTTCTCTATCCTTCCCGCACGTGTTAATCTCCTTCCTATGTAAACTTCCACATGCCAAAAATATATGTCAAATAGCATCTCTGTGGCAATGATTCTAGGCGGGTCATCACATTAAGGGGTCGTTTGTTATGTGGGATAAGGTGTAAAATTAAATTTATACCATGTTTGGTTGGCGGTATAAATTTATCTCAGGATAAATTTATACCGTTAACCAAAAATGATATAAATTTAATCCCAGTCTTAATACAAGATATCCTACCTTATCCCATAAAACTTGAAATTATATTATCCCAAGGTAAATTAACGCAGCAATTATAATCCTAGGATTAGGGGTGTACATGGACCGGGTTGGTTCGGTTTTTATCAAAACCAAACCAAACCAACTATATCGGTTTGGATTTGTTCGGTTTTGTCCGATTCGGTTTGAACACTCCTACCTAGGATTATAGTCCCGAGATAATTTGGTTCTGGTTCGCGTACCAAACCACCCTAAGTCCATTAAACACTCTTATAAAGGGTATATAGAGTAAAAAAAGGAGCTTTAAAAGCGTTGCTTTTCCTAAATCCGTGCATATCCAATAAGCACTTGCGTAAAATCTCATCTAAAACTATTCATGCCGTAAAAAGTCAATTAAGCTTAAATACAGACTTCACCGAAATAAATAAAAGATGTTCCAAGAATCCGAATCTGTTAATACTTTGACAGTCCTGGTATAACAACACACGTAAACGTCTTTGCCCTCTGCCGCGGCCAAGTGTACTGAAGTCGCCCAAAAGCAAGAATTTAAGAAATTAAAAAACAAATAGGCTGGTTTTCTGTAAACTAACTTCCAAACGCAAACTCATATATTGAAATTGTTCACATACACCAACTTAATTATATAAAACTATATATATCACTTTCTTGTTTCTTTCGTCTCTTTCAGAAAATATAATTTATGTGTCTAACTTTCATATGAGAATACTTTAGTCTTATGCTCTGATTTGAAGTTTCTTTTTATATCAGTATCTGTGACGCTTTTCGTGTTTATGCATTCTCTAAAAAGTTGAACAACTATCTTTTTTTATTATATATTGTGCCAAAATGCACCTACTACCATCACTTTCTATGTTATATGGATTTCCATTTTGAAACATTTACTTGAAGTTCTATTCTTGAGATAAATGGGCCTCTGTTGAAATTGTTGATTTTGCTATAGAAATGGTATCTTTACGTATGTGAAAGGACTTATCATGGATCTTGAAACAAGAACTTATCAGAATCATGTAAAGGTGAGTCTTGTTTTACGTGTTAATGTCCAGTTCTTTGGCCATATTCCTGATAAAATCAAGACTTTTTGGTGTTGCAGAAAGAATCTTGGAGGACAGTGTTGACATTAGCATATCAAAGTTTAGGAGTTGTATATGGGGATTTAAGTACCTCTCCACTTTATGTGTATAAGAGTACCTTTGCTGAAGACATTGTGCACACGGAGACAAATGAAGAAATCTTTGGTGTTCTTTCGTTTGTATTTTGGACATTGACTTTGGTTCCTCTATTGAAGTATGTGTTCATTGTGCTTAAAGCTGATGATAATGGTGAAGGAGGTACATTTGCTTTATATTCACTCCTTTGTAGACATGCCAAATTGAATCCATTGCCTAGTTTCCAATTAGCAGATGAAGAATTGTCAAATTACAAGAAGGATATTAATACTCATTCCCCAACTACTTTTGGGGCAAAAGTTAAATCAACTCTAGAAAGGTATTGTTGAATTGAATGACCTTTTTATCTTAAAGTTTTCATTGTGCCGAGCTTTATTTACTGGTTATTGTTATTCCTTTATACCTATTTTCTGGTTCTTATGTTGCTGTCATTACCTTGATTTTTCTGTTGATGGTATAGATATAGTGTTTCTTTTCGTCGTCTTGAGCCGAGGGTATTTCGGAAACAACCCCTCTACTCCTCAAGTAGGGGTAAGGTCTGCGTACACACTACCCACCACATACCCCACTTATGAGATTTTACTGGGTTGTTGTTGTTGTTGCTACAAGATTTATGAGAATCTATTGATCGTCACAAATTTGAGTGTTGCAGAACATTCTGATGGAGGTCCATCTCAATTAGAGACGGGTTTTGTAATAGATAGGGTACACTTCTATTTATTTAAATATTTCTTCAACAATTTATTTAATTATATTTCAACAGGTACAGGGTATTACAAAGATTTCTGCTTGTATTGGCTCTTATTGGAGCTTGTATGGTAATAGGCGATGGTATTCTTACACCAGCTATTTCTGGTATGCTTTTGCTTTCTGGTTGGTTGGTTTTAACCTCAATTTGGGAAGTTTGGTGTTAGTTACAAAAAACTTTTATTTTCTTTTGGTGATTACTCTGCAGTTTTCTCAGCAGTTTCTGGTGTTGAACTTTCTCTGGGAAAAGAACATCACAAATGTAAGATTCTTCATATTGTTCGGTGAGATTATGCTGGTATATGCAGCTTTTTATGTGTTCGAACCCAAAGAAATTTGAATGATAAATGTGAATGTGGCTTTCTGAATTTTTCGTCTTTGAAAACATCTTCGGTAGCTTGCTTCTGGATTTGATAAATGGATCTTGACACACTTTTAAAGTTCAAACTGTTACATTTTCATGTGTAAATCAGTTGTAGTTATTCTGCTTAAATACAAGGGTTTTGATTTGGTTCGACAGCAATACAATTGAAATTAAAGATTAAAAACTACTAGTATGATTTTCATAGAGCACTTTAGAAGCCATATGGACTCGGAGTTGAAGGCAGGGTCTCAATTCAGAATATTTCACTTATATTGGCTTGTTCAAAGGTCATGAAATTCTTATTTTTTCTACTTCATTCTGCTTAAACGTTCCATGCTTAGGCTAGGCTTTGTTGCTTATATATTTTGTCACAAAAAGATCCAAACAAAAAGATAAAGTTTTGAATGCTCAATCATGATAATATCAGCTGCTTGGATGTTGGAATCAAATTCTTGTGAAGGGAGCCTTTCCTAATTATACATTCGATGGTGGTGTTTGTCTGGAAAATCTTAATCTATAAAAGGAGAAAAGAAGGTGGCATAAGGGACTATTCTTCCTAACATTAAATTACAAGCTATTAACAAAGAAGTGATTAAGTAATAACCGAACAGATACCTATTTGGTTTTTGGTGGATGAGGAAGTTGGACATTTTTGGTGAATATGTGCTCTATAAAATGGGGCTGCAGTCGAAGCCAAGTGGACAAAAGTGATCCCCACTGTAGTTCTTGGCCAAGACGAATTTGGTTTGTTATATTAAAGGAAGGATCAGTATATGTTGGATGATCTCGAAATGAGGGCCATCCATCATAAACAAACATCTTGCGGCAGTGAAACTAAATTAAAAACTTGATGCCCTCAAGTAGATTGGTGGAGGCCTATTTTATTATGCTTTTAATAATATTGAACTTCTAGAGAAATATTGACTCAACAGCCAGCAGAGATTAACTAGAATCTCGGAGTGTGAGGAAGTATGGCTTTACTTTGCTAACATCCATTACTTGCATCTATAGATGGTGACTGTCATTGAGACTCACTGAATTTCATTGGTTAGAAATGTCTATGGTGAATATAAAGGAACTTGCAGAGGTACAAGTTAAAATTGAGCATTGACAGGTTAATCATTTTGTGCTTTAGCAATGTTTGCATTTTTGCTGTGGCAGTTATGGTTGTTTGCCCCACTGGATGGGGAATTATGCTAACGGCATTTATACAGTGAGATAGGTACTCGTAGCTCTGCATGTTCTGTCTCGTGGAGTTCCAATATTTGAGAAATCTTAGGATAGTGTAGTTTAGTCTCCACTGCTAATTATTGTATTTCCAATCATATTAAGGATTTTGAATTAAATTGAAGTCTTATTACCTATGCCAAAAAAGACATGCTATACTTTCTTCTGAATTATGAAAATTTTGCAGATGTGGAAGTCCCAGTTGCTTGTATCATACTGATAGCCTTGTTTTCCCTTCAACATTATGGCACCCACAGGGTTGGATTTTTGTTTGCACCTGTTGTCGTGACTTGGCTTCTTTGTATCAGTGCTATTGGTATATATAATATAATACACTGGAACCCTTATGTGTATCGAGCACTGTCTCCTTATTACATGTACAAATTTCTAAAGAAAACTCAAACAAGAGGGTGGATGTCCTTGGGAGGAATCCTTTTGTGCATAACAGGCATGTATAGTTTGTTGTCTTCTCAAGAGGATAGTTGTCCGCTTCTCTTCTTTAAATTCTATGATCACCTAATACGACATTTCATTCTGTCAGGTTCAGAAGCAATGTTTGCTGATCTCGGACACTTCTCCCAGTTGTCAATAAAGGTATGTGTTCATCCTTCCTTTTCTATGTCCAGTTCTTTCAACTGCAAAATCTGACTGAAAGTATGAGATAATATTAAAAGAGAAAGAAATACACCAATCATATGCATCATAAAAGCTGAAAGACCACTACTGTGTTAAAGTCAAGAGGCATGAATCATTAAATCGGATCAGTCTATATGGTTTTAATTCCTCTGTGTAGTACAAACTTCTCCTAAATTAAACTGTGGAGAAGATTTCTCTTCTGAAAATAAAAAAAGCATTTCTGATTGATCTCCTTGCAAAGTCATACATGCAAGTCTTTGACAAATCAGTCTCGCATGATTGCTAGAATTTGATCTTGATGAAATGTAACAAATATAATAAGTAGTTCAAATACTTGTGAATCGTGATGATGTAAATGACTCTTAGCTGTTATTCAGTCGGAAGTTATTACAGTTGTACCATAATCACTTGTATCACCGCCAATGTTTTTATAATCTGATGAGAATGTAGTTAAAGGAAAAGGATAACGAACTAGAGACATGAAGAAATACAGTTTGAAGATAGATTCTGTTTAGTTACTATATTTTGAAGGTTCTCCTTTTGGTTGTAGAAAATGAGATATTCGAACCTAGTCCCTTTGGTGAATTGTGCCCACTCATACACTTTGTATCATAGTGAAACAGTAACATTGTCTAAGAGACTAGTTCCATTTTTGCAGATTGCTTTTACCTCCATAGTTTATCCATCACTTATTCTTGCGTATATGGGGCAAGCTGCTTATCTATCGCGACATCATGTAATGGAGAGTGACTATCAGATTGGCTTCTATGTTTCAGTACCTGGTACGTATTACAAGAGTGGCTTTTACCGGGAGAATTGTAGAGTAGGCAAACTCAGCTAATGATTGACATTTTAGACTCTTGCTTCAGAAAAATTAAGATGGCCGGTTCTGGTGATTGCTGTACTGGCTGCAGTAGTGGGGAGCCAAGCCATCATCACTGGAACCTTTTCAATTATTAAACAATGCTCTGCGCTGGGATGCTTCCCTAGAGTCAAAATACTGCATACGTCGTCAACAATACATGGTCAGATTTACATCCCAGAGATTAACTGGACCTTAATGCTACTATGTTTGGCTGTTACTATTGGTTTCAGAGACACCAGAAGGATGGGAAACGCTGCAGGTATGGCTTTAATCATGTTCATAAAGGATAGCAAAATTCTTTTGTGTGGAAATCATTTGGACTGGTTTTCATGTTTAATTTTGCTAATGGATTCTCTATCTCTTGTGCATACATATGCTCATTTGTTTAGAAATTCTGTTTTCCATTTGTTTATGAAGTGGTCTAATATATCCCTTATCCCTAAAATTTTCCCTTCGCATCAGGTTTAGCTATCATAACTGTCATGCTGGTCACCACTTGCTTGATGTCATTGGTAATTGTTTTGTGCTGGCACCAGAGTGTTTCCCTCGCAATTTGCTTTGTGATCTTCTTTGGGACAATTGAGGCTTTATATTTCTCTGCTTCTTTGATTAAATTTTTGGAAGGAGCATGGGTGCCTATTGCCATGGCTTTTATTTTCATGATAGTAATGTGCATTTGGCACTATGGCTCACTGAAAAAGTATGAGTTTGATGTTCAAAATAAGGTCTCGGTTGACTGGCTACTGAGTTTAGGTCCTAGCCTAGGCATTGTAAGAGTCCGTGGCATTGGCGTCATACACACTGAGCTTGTATCCGGAATCCCAGCAATATTCTCACACTTTGTTACCAATCTTCCAGCGTTCCACCAAGTCTTAGTTTTCGTTTGTGTTAAATTTGTCCAGACTCCTCATGTTAGACACGAAGAACGGTTCCTTGTTGGATACATTGGCCCAAGAGAGTATCGCGTCTATAGGTGCATCGTCAGATATGGTTATCGTGATGCTCACAAGGATGATTCCCAGTTCCAGGATGATCTTGTATGTAACATAGCTGAGTTTATACGGACGGGAAATACAGGGTTGAACAGTAATGCTGCAGATTTAAAGAGTTTTGAGGACATGACTGTTGTTGGAACTGCTTCAACTCACATATCTGGAGTTCAACTTCGTAAGGACGACGAAGTGAAATCTGACTCAGTTGGAACGTCGGAACTTAGAGAAATACATCCTTCACAGATAACCAAGGCTAAGAAAAGTGTGAAGTTTGTCATATCAGAAACTACAAGGACCGGCAGAGGCGCGCGCGAGGAGTTGAGAGAACTGATGGAAGCTAGAGAAGCAGGCATAGCTTACATATTGGGGCATTACTATGTCCAAGCCAAAGAAGGATCTAGCTTATTCAGGAAAATAGTTATAAATTATGGGTATGAGTTTCTGAGAAGGAATAGCAGACGACTCACCTATGCGTTAACTGTACCTCATGCTTCTACTTTAGAGGTAGGAATGGTCTACCATATATGATTTTGGCGTATAGAGGATAAAGAAATAATGAAATATGTACATACGTTTGTAGTTTTCTGTAAGGATACGAGGGAAGTGTTAACATTATTATGATTGAGGATGAGTAATGTGTACCATATTGTTAGCCAATGCTATTTGCCTAGGTAAGGCTAGATGGTGTCTTATATATTTTTCAATTATATAACGATATTTATACATATCACGGATTATGGGCTCCCTTAGGATTGAGTATCACTACTAGAAATTCAGGGAAAATCGACCAAGCATACCGACCAAGTTGATCGGTGGACAAAAGCGACGAAAAAACCGTCCAAAACGGATGGAAACTACAAAAAAATATTTTACATTTTTTTAAAATTACATATCGACCGAAATTGGTCGGTATATTGGTCAAACATTTGACCGCTGTAGTCAGACTTGCTTAGTCAATGCATCTTTTTGATTACCGACCAACATTGGTCGGTAATATGGACCCACACTTTAAAATTTTAATAATTATATTATTATTTAAAATATTTTATAAGATTAATAGAATTTATAGTTAAGTGTACCGACCAAAGTCGGTCGGTTATTGCAGGGGAAGATTTTACCGACCAACTTTGGTCGGTAGATGTAATTTCTGGAAAAGAACCGACCAACTTCGGTCGATTCATAGGTCAAACATGGTCAAACTATTGAATTACATTAATATTTACTATCTAAATAATATAGATGTAATCTGTTAACACTTTATTTTGTAATAAAAAATAATGAATACACCAACATATACTATAACAAGCTATATATAGTTAAAGTAGTACAACAAAGAGTGTGTGTGTGTGTATATATAGGTATAGCCGCATCTAAGAACACGAAGCGCTAGGGCCACATGGTCGGGTTCTTTTGGGGATAGACTTGTGAAGAAACAATAATCTAATTAGTATATATAGTTGATCATCATCAAATATATCTATTTGTAAATTGATTTATTCAATCAACTTATAACTTACTTAGATGCATCGAATATTAAGAACAAAACGTTTCGACTTATATCGATGAATATTAAAAACAAAACGTCTCGACCTATATCGATTAATCTACGTGATGCATTATTAGTGATGAAAGAATAAAATATAGAAGAATTAATACTAAACATCTTCGACATGTATATATAGATCACAAACTAAAGAAACGAAAGAAGTTATTAGCATTAAGTAAACGAGTTAATATAACAATCGACTAAACATATATAAAATAGAATAATATTGGTTTATCAATTCATTAATTGATAAAGCTTTTGTACGTAGTAATGTATGTGATCGATCATCAATTACAATATAGTGTATGTCTCTCTCTTTGTGTGTGTGTGTATGTGTGTGTGTGAAATTACTCATATACTTAATTATAACTTAGAAAATTAACTTAGATAGATGAATACAAAAGGTAAAACGTCTTGACCGATATTTATTAATCTATGGGATTTGTAATTAGTTATAAAACAAATGAATATATAAGACGAAATGTGGAATTTAAATAAAATAAACATCTCATATATATACCTTTATTTTTTTTATTATGATTGATTAATTATATATATGTGTGAATAAAATATATGCTTTATAATTTATTAAAAGTAATCAGTTAATATAATATTTTATAAAGATTATGATTATAGTTTATAATTATTTATAGTAAATAGATATGTGAATAAAATAAATGCTTATAGCTTATAATAATTTTTTATAGTTTATAATATTTTAAGAAATAAAAACACAAAAAAAAATTTACTTTTTTTTAGAAAAAAATAACCGATCAAAGTTGGTCGGTTAATAGTCAAATACAGTCAACGCCTTGTCATTTAGTGTACCGACCAACGTTCGTCGGTAATTCTAATTCCAGATCCCAAATACGGGATTTTACCCTCATTTCTCTTACTCTTTTCTCAAAATTTTCTAACTCTCCACTCTCTTTTCCCTCACACACACAACATCCTTCCCCCTCTCCTTCTCTATTTTCCTCACACAAACTATATTCCCCATTCCATGTCGCTACTGCCCCCACCCCTCCCGCCGCCGTTGCCGCTGCCAGTTACTACGGCCTTCACTGCCGCTCCCCTCCACCTCCTAAAAACTTCAGGTTTCGATTTGAACTTACATTGTTTGTATAACTTTAATATTTTTTATTTCGTTATGAATTAGTTAATTATTGTTTAAATTTGAATTTTATTGAAATCTAGGGTTTAGGTCATGTTAAAATTGAATTGAATTTAATTGATTATCTAGGGTGTAAATTCAATGTTTGAGTTTGTATTGACCTGAGTAGTTTTGTTAGGAATTGAATGTTTATCTTTGAATTGAATTGTATTATATTGTGTGAGGTTAATTGAATTGTTAGGGTATTAATTGAATTGTTCAGTGTATGGGTTGAACTTTTAGGATATGAATTGAACTTTTAGGGGTAATGGTTGAACTTTTTGGATGTGAATTGAACTTTTAGAGATAATTGTTGAACCTTTTGGCCATGATGTTGTATATACGAGTTTTGATACGTGGTTCAAACAGTTTGTAAGTTTATCCTGATAATGTTCTTCTAAAATTCCCGCTATATATATATATATATATATATATATATATATATATATATATATATATATATATATATGGTTATGCTAACTTATGAATTGTTTTTAACACTATGTAGGTAAATAATCCAAATAATGGTGTAAATCAAATTTTGAAAGATATATCTTGGGGACCTGGGCTTCAGGTCACAATAATATTTAAGTACGTAGTGAATAGTTATAAGTTTCATACAGAGGATTGCTCTAAAAATAAAAATAACAACAACAGGGAGGTGTGGTTTCAAGGTGCTGATGGTAACCAAGTTGGAGATATTGATTATTATGGTGTGGTCAAAGAAATATTACAATTAGAATATACAGGTTGGCCATATAAGAAATTGATACTCTTTAGATGCAAGTGGTTTGATTCAAATTAACAAAAGATACAAGAGTACACCACCAATACAACATAATTGATGTTAATCATATGAGGGAGTATGATCGCTATGATAGCAAGTGTATTATGCTCCTTATCCATTGCGGGGGAATAAGTCCGATTGGTGGGTTGTAATCAAAACTAAGCATGTAGATAGGGTGGAAGTAGAATGTGATAGATGTTGCATATCAAAATATCTCCAGTGTTCACCAAATAGTGGATGATCAGTTGGAAAATAATTTGGAACATCCTAAACACATATTGGAAGAAGTTGATATAAATGAAGTAACAATTATAGAAAATGAGTACAAAGAATCAACTGATGAAATTCAAACAAGTGAGGATGAGGAATTCTCGGACGAGGAACAATACGTCAGCGAGGATTAAAAAGTTGGTTTTTCAAAGCACTCTCGTTTTATAACTAATTTCTTATATGTTTCAATCTAAATATACATTATATTACTAGTTTCTCAGCACATGTGTCACACGTGTATGCCAAGTTATATATACATGATTTTGTAAAATAATATATTAATATTATTAAAATAAAGATTTGAGTGTGTCTATATATATATATATATATATATATATATATATATATATATATATATATTCTATGAAGAATAAATTATAATTTTTAGTAGATCGTCTTTGTTGTCGACTTCAAGATGATTGGATATCATCTAAGCTACAAAAATAAGCTTTACAAATTAGTTAGAAACATGTAATTCCTTTTACTTTGATTTTATGGAGCACAAATTAAGATATAATGAAGCGTATCTCTCCTAATACTTTTTTGTAGATGATATTCTTAGTATATATATGTTCCATTCATCTATTTCAATTTCTTTGTCATAACCAGAACTCTTGTTATCGATACTAATATATTTTTTGAAAATGTAACTTGAAGGGCCATGTGAGGAAACAACACTAAACTGGCTTCTCAAATATATTTTCCTCTTTAAATTTGTCATAGCACTACAAATCAATACAAGCACATCAGTTCGAATAAAAGAAAGTGTATTGTTCAAAATATGTGTGATGAACTTTTATGTCTGGGGCAGTGCATGCAGCACGTATATTGAAAATGAACTGCATGATAAGTATATCACCTGATAAAAACAATCTTTAATCTCATTTATTTTTACGTATTGAAAGGCACTAATTATGCATCAGTTGATGTATATCTAGCAGGAGTAAAGTAATGCATATTTATTATGTCAAAGAATAAACAGGTTTTGCAGCAGGTTCCGAGCTCCCTGCCATTGTTCACACGAAGAGCATCCTTAGCCAGCTTGTGTTCTGGTTTGTTGGCCTCTCTGAAGTTGTGCTCCACTGTTTGAACTTTCACCTGGTACATCAATAACCTACAGTCATAAATAATATTGTTAAGTAGCGTGTAACCATGTTGTAGACATAGAATGACGTCTGTGGAGTCTGTCTCCACATCAATGTTAGTAAAACCTTGTTCCCTTGCTAGTTGAAGGCCTTTCTTTAATGCCATAAGTTCTACATGCAGGGGGGATAGACTATAAGAAGATCCCTGGAACCCCAGCACCCATATGCCAGTGCTATCCCTAAATAAACCACCGAAGCCACATGTGGATGTTTCATTATTGAAGGAGCTATCTATATTAATCTTAATATGGTGAGCAGCAGGTTTGATCCATTTAACAGAAATAGGTATGTTTGTTGGATGCATAGGTTCCTTTTCAGTGAGAAATTTGTATTCAACCGCTAACTTGTAAGAATAGTGTATATATGCTTTGTTCATAGTGTTATTATAGAGGTTGTTATTCCTGTTTTTCCAAATTGTCCAAATCGCAAAGGGAAACATATCATGCCAATCTATGTGGCCCTTTCCTAGAGAAAAATTTAGGTCATGAATATTGATCAACCAATGGTTTGTCGAGTTGTAGCCACTCATATTGATGCCTAACTGAAGTCAGGAGTCTTTGACAACTGAGCAATGCATGAAGATGTGGGTAATATTTTTCTTATCGTGCTTGCAAAAGGAGGATCAATGTTGATTCCAATGTGGTTTAAGTAGGTTCTAGTTGGTAGTTTGTTGTGGAGACATTTCCATAACAGGAACTTTATTTTGTTTGGACATTTTAGGTCCCAAACCCAATAAAAATCTTGAGTTACATTGGGGTGGGTGTTTGGGAGATTATAGC